CTTTCCACCACTAAGGCATTATTAAAAATAAATAAACACACCAAGGGCCCTCCCAGGAGCTCAAAGATGCCCATGATCTTCCCCCGTGTAAGCTTCCAGAAAAGGAAAAGGGCACTACCTCACAGACGTTGAGCCCATAGGATGTGGGGACCTCGGCTGAAGTCGACTAGGAGACCAAGCCTGCCTTTGGGCTCGCTACGCTGCATGTTGACTTACAAAGAAAGGCAACGTCCGAGCTGGTCTCCTTCGCTCAGACATGCGACATAAGGGGGCGCATCTAGCTGCCCCTCACTCAGTGGCTCTGGCTCGGCGGGAGGTGAGTGCAAGGCGCCCGCCCGGTGCAGCGCCGCTCCGGACCCACCGGAAGGGCTCAGCGAAGCCCCACCGACTGCGGGGCGGGGGTCCCGCGGCCGCAAAACGGCCGTCTCAGCGCGCGAAACAACTTCTGAGGCAAAAAAAACTCTCGAAAGTGAAGACCGTTACCAGTCGTTTAGAGTAATCCCGTTTCTACGCAACATTTTCCTTATTTATATAATCTCTTCTACCACGAAAATAGTATTCGGCGTAGGGAAATTTTTGGATAAATTGATTAAGTGCCTTCAATCACTGTCTGCTTGATTCGTACTAAAATTCGGTTATTTGAGGGGGAAAATGAGGCGAAATGTCTGCACTTACGCAAGTCTACGCCTCGAAACTGGGCGGCACTCAGCAGCTCCCCCAAAGGCCGCAGTCGCCACCGCCTCGGGCGCCCGAGTTTGCCGAGGAGCGCGGGCACGGACGCCAACGGCTGGGAGGCTAACGGGCGCGCATGCGTTCTCCGGCAGGGGAACCTTTTTCGTGCTGGACTTCCGGGCGAGCCCTAGAGGGCGGGATAGTTGCACGGCTTCCGGCGGCGAATGGCCATGATTGGTGGAGCCAAGAGAGGGGTGGGGCACCGGGAAATTCGAATAGGAGAGGCGGATCTAAGGAGGCAGCTGAGGCGACGCGAGATGGCGGCGGCGACCGTAGGTACGTGAGCCCGGCCTGGGCAGGGCGCCGAGGCCTGGCGCCTGGCGGGGTAACGTGTCAGTATCTGACCCGGGATCCGTGGATTGTCCTGGGGGGACCCGGGGACACGGCAGAAGGTGGGAGCCGCGGGCGGGTCAGCCCACCTCGCTCTTCTCACTGTTTCTTCTCACGGGCCAGTACACTCGGGTTGAGACCTGACTTTGGCACTTACAGCCTCTTTTGAGCCCAGTGCACTTTTCCTTTGTGAGCTTCAGTTTCTTTGTCAAATGAAGACGATGACCCCATCTCAGGAGATTACCTGAGTAAGCGAGCGAAAGAAAAGTGGCAAACACCCCAACCGTGAGGACAGAAACAAGGGAGCTGGATGCCCGTATGACGAGTTGTTTGGGTGCGCGGGGCGGGGGAGGATCCCTGAGAGAGAGAGGAGGGCAGGCCGAGGGCGAGACCGACTGCAGCTGCCTGTGAGTTGACAGCCTAATGTGCGGAGACCACAGAAAAGGGAAATGAGGGACTGTTTTCTTTCACTCCAGCGTGGAGATCAATGCTACTTTAGAGTTGGAAAGACTGTTCGGTTAGTCAGAATCTTGTGTGTATGTGTTTATGCCTCTGCTCTCTTCCTGTAGACTGAGTTCTGGTCTGTGGTTATGGCGGGCACCATAGTCATTTCTTCGAGTCCCCTTACTGTTTGTCAGGCCTGTGGAGAAGCAACGCTATTTAGTAGGATGTCAAACACATGTGGAGCCCTTGCTCGGTTCCAGGCACAGTTGTTAGTCTTCTATGGTGATGAGTCATTTAATCTCCACATAGTGCTGTTATTGTCTCTGTTTTACAGATGAGGAAACTGAGGCATAGATGGGTTAAATAGGTTAACACAACTGGTAAATATTGGGGTCTGAATCATACTCAGGCAGTCTGCTCAGAGCCTCTGCTCTCAACCGTTATGTCCAAGCACAAAATTCCTGCTGTCTGAGCACAACCTGCTCTTACCTTTCCAAGACCCACTATGTCGGGTACATAGTAGGTATCATAAAAACACTTGAATGAATATGGTTGCTTCCCTAGAGGAGCTTATAGTCCGTTTTGGTAGGTAGTCATTTAAACATATAATAACATGAAAAGCAATGAGAGATAATGTATATCTAAACTGCTATAGAGAGTACAGAATCTGAAGTAAACCCTTGGGTGTTCTGGAAGGACTTTATTAAGGAAGCAATATTTGAGGTGTGTTTCAAAGGTTGGGTAGGAGTTTGCCAGACTTTGGTGAAGCAAAAAGACTACCAAGTAATTTCTTAAAAAAGAGGGGCCAAAGATGCTCTCTTTGGCTCAGTTTTCCTCAGCATAAAAGAGGAAAGAGTTAAGTTAAATGAAGCTGGGGAATTGTAGGAGAGGGGGAAATGAGAAGAAATAGCGTCGCCCAACCTCAAAGTTGCTTTTAGGAAGGGGAGAGACTCTTGTCCTGTAAGCAGTTGTTTACATGTGCCTCTCCCCTCCTCTCCTGGACCCTGAGCTTTGGGGCAAGAATGGCAGTGAACCACTTTTATGATGAAAACAGGAAACGAACAGGTTAATACTTTATGTTAGCGTATTCATCAAACCTTAATTTGTTCAGCAAATACTCTGAGAGCCTACTCTGTGCTAGGCATTGGGGATATAAAGGTGAGCAGAGTAAGATTTATTTTCACTGAGTTTACAGTTAGATGGAGAAAACAGACAAACACGCAGTTACAGTGGCGTGTGATTAGTGCTTGGATGGAGGAGTTAAAGTGAGCCATGGATGCACCTAATTGAACCTTAATAGGTCAGTCATTTTAGAAGGGAAGGCTTTTTAGAGCAAGTAAGGTCTACCTATTTACATCAATCACTTGATGGGGGTGGGTGGGATACAGAAGATATTCCAGGGAGCTAGAATAGCACATGCAAAGGCCCAAAGGTGTGAACCAACTTAGTGTGTGTGGGAACTGAAGGGAATTCATTGTGGCTGAGCGCTTACAGCGAGCATGTCAAACTCAAAGGCTAACACAGGTTAAATAAACAAGGTTTAAGTTTATGTGGGCTGCAAAAAAACCACACAAAATCTTCAATTTTCATAGAAACGTAGGTTTATTTCGATAGAGACATGCTGAATACAAAGGGCTGAAATAAATGAGTCATTAACATAAAATAATAGAACTTTTAATAAAAATTAATATTTTTTCGTGAACATTAACTTACCAGACACTGAATACCTGCACAAATTAATAAGCGTAACACAAATAAACCTATTTTTCTTGTTCTCTGAAAGCGAAATATTTCCTGTTGCGCACACCAAACAAGTCAATCCAAGACTAAAGTGGCAATCCGCTGCTAAAATATTCACTGTTAGTATTAGTGGAGAGAAATGGTGCGCCTGCAAGTAAGGCGCATAATGGAAATGAATGCAACACGATTATAGTAATCAGTCATTAGTGAATGTTGTGGTTCATTATTAATAATTTTGTATAACAGGATATTGTAAAAATTAAGTTACGAAATTTTTATTAAAACATTTCTTACATACCATTATATTGGCTGGGCAGCAAAAATATTTATTGTGGGCTACATGTGGCCTACGGGCCATGAGTTTGACATGCTTGGCTTACAGTGTAAGGAAGGAAGTGGAGAGAGAATGATTGGAGGTGAGTGAGACTAGAGGCAGAGAGACCAGTTGGGAAACTGTTGAGATGATGATGACTTTGGCAAAGATTGTGCAGTGGGAATAGAGAGAAGTGGACTCATCTAAAAAGGTAGAATTGACTTATGTAATGAATAACTGATGTGGGAAATGAGAAGGTAGAGTTAAGAAAGATTCCCATCTTTGGGTTGGTGCCTGTCATTTCCGTTAGAGAGCATAGTAGGAGGAGGATGTTGCAGAGAGATGGGCAAGAGTTCAGTTTAGGACAGGTGGAGTTCCAAGCACCTTCGAACCATGTAAGATGTCAGGGCAGCAGCCTGGAATGTAAATCTGAAGTTCAGGAAGAGAACTCTAGTGTGGAGGTGTCAATTAGGATTCATCAGCTTTAGATGGTAATTAAAGCCAAGAGAGCAGGTGGCCATGCCCATGAAATGAATCAGAGTAGTGATTTTCAACTAGAGGGGGAAATTTGGTTGTTGAAATTGGGGAGAGGTGGCACAAAATGCTACTGGCATATGTGTTTAGTATGTGCGCTACATATCCTACAATGCATGGGACAGCCCCACCACAAGAATTATCCAAACTGAGCAGCCCTGGTCTAGAAAGAGGATAGAATGAGTCTAGGAAAAACATTTAAAAATGGCAGAAACTGAGAAGGGGTGAAGTGGCATGGAAACTAAGGGAAAAGTATATTTCCCAAAGGAAAGCAGATCAGGGTATTGAATACTGCGGGGAAGTCAGATAGGAAGGAGACCGAGCATGTCTACTGGATTCAGCAGTAAGGAGGTCCTTGGTCACCCTGCTGAATTGTGCAGACAGAAGCTAGTTGCTGCCTTGAGAAGTGAGTAGCAAGAGAAAGAGTGTAATCATAACAATAACAATAGCTAACATTTACTGAGAGCACTTGCTGCCAGCACCGTATAAACATTGTATGTATATTTTTTCTTTGACTCCTCACAATCTTATGAGGATACTGTTATTTTTATAAAGAGAAACTGAGTCTTCAAGACATTAAGCCTTCCCAAGGTCACACAGCTGGTAGGTGGAACTTGTCGCAGACTCCAAGGCCCATAGGGATACAAAGAGGAAGGGCTGAGATGGCCTGGGGAATCATTTAATGAACTTTGGCATTAGGCCTTTCTTTGAAGTTTTCTCTGTCACTAACTAGCTGTCGACACGGGCAAGTTAGCTAACCTCTCTTTATTGATGTTTCCTCATATGAAAAATGGGGGATAAATATAAAACACTTAGCTTTTACCAAGAACCAAGTACTTTTACATGAATTACCTTATTTATTGCCTTAACAACCCAAAGAGTAGGTATTTTTATTTATTCCCATTTTACAGGTGTGGAAATTAAGGCACAGGAATAGAAAATTACTTCTTTAGGTTAGTTAGTTGTAAGTGGTAGAGTTGGGATTTGAACACAGCCTGCCTTACCTTGAATAATGAACCTACCTACTGTATGCTAGTTATTGTATTGGAATTTTATATGTTACTTCATTTAATTCTCATTAAGCCCTTCTAACGCCAACCCCACCCCATTTTATAAACAGGGAAACTGGGGCAAATGGATGTTAAGTCATTTAATCCGGGTCACAAGCTAATAACTGAAAATTTAATTTCTACTTACTTGTTGCTGACTTTCAGGATTGCCATGAGGATCAAATTAAAACTACATGTGCTTAGCTAGAACATGTCAATGGAGGAAGAGGGGGACATATGTAATACTTTCAACAATAAAGATTTAAAAAATTAAAATAAATAAAACTACATGTGCTTGGTAAACCATAAATTGAGAAATGGTACAATTAGCTTCATTGTCAGGTGAAGGGACAGAGGCCCAGTTTTTGAAATAGGCCATCTGCTTATGGGTAAGTCTTACTTATGCATAAGATTCTTTCTAGCCTGGCCTGTGTGGCTCAATGGTTGAGTGTCGACCTATGAACCAGGAGGTCACAGTTCAATTCCCAGTCAGGGCACATGCCCAGGTTGCAGGCTCAATCCCCAGTAGGGGGTGTGTAGGAGGCAGCCAATTAATGATTCTCTCTCTTCATTGATGTTTCTCTCTCCCTCTCCCTTAGCCTCAGAAATCAATTTTTTACAAAAAGATTCTTTCTAGGGGTAGTGTGTCCACCTTTTTGTCTTGCTGTTTCTGTTCTGGCCAACACATGCCAGCCTCTTGCCTTATATGAGGCCTGTGGCTCCCTACTACCAGCAAAAAGGAGTCAGAGCTGCCAAGGACTATCTTCGTTGGTAGACAATAGAGAGTCAATATGACATCCTCATTAAAAGGATATGAAGGTGAAGATATCCAGGTTTGAATTTTACTGTTACTGTTAACACAGTATGGTATCCTCCAACATAAATTAGACAAATACCCTCCTCATAACATTTTTTTCTTCAGCTCATTCAATCCTCACAAAAGAGGGTTTTTTTTTAGTTTTATCTTTATGTGTTTTCTAATGATACTCAATGTTTTTTTTTAATGACTTAGGTTGAATTATCGAAAGCATACTAAACAGAATGCTTACAGTAGAGAAGGATTGCATGTCAGTGCCTTTTGTAATCTGAACTGGGACAAAAAGAGACTAGGGGCTGCCTCTCAACCACATCCCTTCTAAACAAAGATGTCCACAGTGCCATTCTTTAAAAAAAAAAAAAAATGCACACACTACAGCATTACAGGGCTGGGTACATAGAACATAAACCTGCATAACCCCCCATCAAGAGAAGGCCATCATTAAGTTTGGCATGTGTGTGGCGTGTGTGTGTATGTATTGTAAAACTCAGGTAAGAGTGGTTTTAGGTAGGGGGCAAATGTTATCTCTTAATCCTTAGAACAATCTGTCAGGTGTTGGTCTATAACTTGGCAATTCAAAATGTGCTGCCGTAGCAGCAGCAATAGCAGCATCTGGAAGTTTGCTAAAAATTCAGAATCTCAGGCATCACCCCAGGTACTGGAGCTAAACCTGTATTTCTTCTCCCCCTCTCCCCCCCCCCCCCCCGATATTTTATCCATTGCTTTTTTGAGAGAGAGAGAGAGAGAGAGAGAGAGAGAAGTAGAGAAACATCGATTAGTTGCCTCCAGAAAGTGCCCCAACTGGGCCCAGGAATTGAACCTGCAACCCACATATGTACCCTTGACCAGGAATTGAATCCAAGACCCTTTGGGGCGCACACCGACATTGTAACCCCTAAGCAACACCAGCC